GAAAGAAATGTCTTCACCTATTCATGGTGATTGCATTTAATTATACATTGAACATTACTGGCTTTTATAATATAAAAGAGCAAAATAAGTTTACTCTTTTTATAAAAGCAATAAGCCACTCAAGGTTATGCTTCATACTGATTCTGGTTAAGAGGTTTTAATAGGTTTTAATAATGATGCTCTTGCTGCATATATTGATTTCATAATCAATTGGTTTCTCAGGATGTTTCTCTCTATAGAGAGTTCTCATTAGTTATCTGGTGGTGAGGAATCATCTGTATTTAAACTTACTAATACACTTTAATGTCATAAGACGTGATCATGTGGGAGGTGTGAAATGCCTGTAATCATGTTGTTGCAGGCCATATCATACGTGGTATCTGTTTTGCAGTTTTTGACAAAGTTAGCCACCTTTATTCTTATGACAGTGTTGTCTTTTTTACGACAGACATTATTGTCTTTACCCTCATTTTGTTCCCAAACTGAATGACTTTCGCTTGCGTGGCTATACAGATATACTGTGTGAAGTTGTCGCTCCAGGTCTGACATCTGCTTTTGTGTTCCATGATGGTTTGGAATAACAAATCAGACAGAATTTTCACCGTCAGTGGGTAAACTATTTTAATAGATTATTCATTGAGTTTTGTCCAGGTGAGATAACCATCATGTGCCTGATTGTGCCCTTAAAACGTGGTTCTTGGGACATTTACTCTAGAACATCAAGGCATGTGGCCATTCCACATTATTTAACCTCATTTACAATATGCCACAACATCACAAAGCTCATCAGTCAAATGTGACAGTTTCTATAATAATATTTTTATGAACATTTTACAAACTGCTCTTTTTACACACTTTGCTCCTTGTAGTCACTTTTGGCGCTTTTCCACTGCGTGGTACGACTCGGCTCAGTACTGTGTTTGTGTCGCAAGTTCAGTGACGCAGGTAGTGACGATTCTCTCCGGCCAATCCGTGATCAGCAGAGTTTACACGTCACGTTTTGGTAACGGTACGGTTCACTTGGAACCCCAACCGAAGTGGTACTAAAAAAAGTACCAGGTACCAGGCACTGTACCCAGTGGAAAACCCCCCAAAAGTGAACCGTACCGAGCCGTACCGTGCCATACCATGCAGTGGAAAAGTGCCATTTGATGGTTTGAATTGTAAACACGATGAGAAGCTGATTTAAAGGCACAATATGTAAGATTTTCGTAATAAAATATCCAAAAACCACTTGCACATTGTTAAATATTTCCTGCAGTTGTGCACTTACGTTATCCCAAAAGTTCCCAAGGATTTGTAAATCCAGAGAAATTCCGATTTGAATTGTAAACACAATGAGAAGCTGATTTAAAGGCACAATATGTAAGATTTTCGTAATAAAATATCCAAAAACCACTTGCACATTGTTATATATTTCATGCAGTTGTGCACTTACATTATCCCAAAAGTTCCCAAGGATTTGTAAATCCAGAGAAATTCCAATTTTAAATAATGGCTCATCCCGGTTTATTGTCGCCTATCAGTTACGTAATAACCGTGCTATCGGTTTCTGCTTTTAGAAACTATGGCAACATACGTGGACAAAAATGCTGCTGTACAGTTAAACTAAATCTATTACGGCTGTAGCAAATAAAATGAAAATGAAATGAAAAGTGTTGACTGCAGCATTAAATTTAGATCTGCTCAATATTGCACCATGATGATTCTTTTTACGATCAGAGGCGTTCAGATGAGTCATCGCTCAAACACTGAAGTTTGTTGTTCAGTGCGCGCAATCGCTGACTGAATTTTGCTCTCTCGCGAATTCTCTCATCATAAATATCAAAGTCCAGAAGTACGCATGATGTAAATATGAGATTCATTCATCAAACAGTGTATAGACAGCTTTACTGATTATAAGGGGAGTTTTTGAGAGAGCTTAAACTCACGCTTGATTGAAGTCAGTTACTGTTCCTTGACGATGTAAATGTTCTTCGCTCGCTTTCTCTTTATAATTTACTCGCTGTTTGAATAACTTTGGAAGGTACAGCTTAAAAAAAAATGTATTCATTACATCAGTGAACATGATTCGGACATCTCTGGATGGTGAAAACGACATCTCCCATCGTTCCACTCTCCTTCATAGCATCAACAAGCTTCGCCTTTGTTATTGTTTTGAAAATGCAACCTCTAGCTGCAAAAAGTTACATATTGTGCCTTTAAGAGCTGTTCAGAAATAACACTTTTTGCTCAAACTTTATTTTATGGTCCAGTTCTCACTATTAACTACGACTTTTGCCTCAATAAACTCCTAATTTGCTGCTTATTAATAGTTAGTAGGTAGTTGTTAGTTTAGGTGTGGGGTAGGATTATGGATGTAGAATATGGTCATACAAAACATGTGCTTTATACGTAATAATAAACAGCCAATGTGCTAGTTATATGCATGCTAATAAGCAACTAGTTAATGGTTAGAATTGGTCCCTATACTAAAGTGTTACCCACTTTTTCACATTTTTCACAGAAGCTGCCATCTTCACTCCTCTCTCAAACCATTCTGTCCATGCTGTCTCTTCACTTTTTGTGATTATTTTCCTTTAAATGCAGGTGCACATCCAAATCCTTCCTTGATGGATTCATTTGTATTCTGTGTTGAACCATTTGACTGTAAAGCAGTTGTTTCACTAAAGTACAGACTGTATTGTATTGATTTTGTCTAGGAGATGTTTTGCACTTTACATAGTTTGTGGACTCCTTCCTTTCAAAACCAAGATTATATAAATTAATTATGAATTCAATTATTCAGCCTTAGCTGTTTCATGTTAAATGGATCATATCTACTCACACTCACGTTGTTCCAAGTTTAAACCCATAAGATTGCCTTTTACCTGAGAAACCTAAGTTACATTACACCACAACTTAGGTACTTTAAAATTTTCAAAAAGACATCATAAATAAAAGTTTATTTAAAGTGTTGTGAAGAGACACAATTGCTTTATATGATTCATAGGCTTTTATTTACATATAAACTTTAAAAGGCAAATACATTAAATATGGTAAACAGAAGCTAAATCGTGGAGATAAAAGGTCATGCTTTTTGGTGGAATGGACTTTCAGTGTAGGCAAAGAAATTTAGGATAGCTTGAATATGGTCAGATTAACAAATACACTCACTGAACTGAATTGTGGACTGCTAATTGTACACTGCTTATATTTAACCATTGTAAGATACTTATTTTTTTAAGTTCCTATGAGTTTTTTTTTTTATATATATTTTATGGTGGGACTTTAAAGCCAAAGGCTAAAGTGATTATAACCTTACTCGCTCACTCATTGCTGCGAGTGAGTTTAGCTCTATGCCCAAACCCTTTCCTCTACTGGCTCTGAGCCTCAGATTCAGTTGCCCTCTTTTACGGTAAGTTACTGAGGCTATGACTCATTTTTTCACATATTGTGATGCTGTTGAGCTGAAGCTATAGTATATTTAGCATTTGAAGTCCTACTTTTTGCTTCTAATGAAAAAACGGGAGATGGATGTTTAGCAATTAGAAATTTAAATTTCACCAACTACTACATTCATTGCAGGCTGTGATACTATGAAATAAGAGAAGTGGTTAATAGATTTGAATGCATTTTTCAATGTACTATGAAACCTGTAACTCCATTGCATATGTAATCATGCCATTTTTCCCAATGTTATGCTGGCTACACAGACAAGCAGTTCAATTTTGATTGCTGAGTTCATTGAGTGTCAGTGACAGAGAAAAGTAGAATAAAAGAAATTCACTCCGAATGTACAGTGCCTGTGGTTGCATTTATTTGCCCACACTGTCTGTGGTGTTTTTATGGCTAAATTTACCCAAGGAATTATGCAAATCACAATCATGGGCAAAAAAAAAAAAAAAGGTAGGATGTTACGAACCTCTGACATATTTAATTATCACTTTTATCATTATCATATTTAAGTATAACTTCACCACTATGATGCATATGGTCTTTATTTTCTCTTTTTAATGCTGAAAGTGTCTTCACTGTGTGACTGCATACATGCATGATTATAATGCTGTTCCATCAACTTATCATTTGATGAATTACTGCTGCTATCGCCTCACGAAAATGTACATAAATGTCTCTTTTAAACAAAGCACTGTTTGTCACCTGCTTTCCACCAGAGGTAATTTATGGAAGCCCATTTCTGCCAAAGAAAAAAAAAAAAAGGTTTACTGTCTACATTTAAATAATAATAATAAGTGAGATAGAATGCATTATGCAATGATAATTATTTCAGATAGTATTAGTACAAAATAGTAGCAAATTGTTGTCACATTACCTCATTATGTTACATTTCTGCATGTTGGCAGACACTTTTATCCAAAGCAACTTATTGCGTTGCTATACTGCATGTGTATGGAATCACTGTGTATATATATCTGGCTGTCCTTTCACAGGATCAATTTTATCACTGATGTTACATATGTTACATTTAAAAAATATTATGTATGCACACACACACACACACACACACAGACACACACACACACACACACACACACACAGACACACACATACATGCATTTGTTAGTAAATCTGAGACTAATTCAACCCATAGTTGCCAAGGCAAAATTAATTTAGTCTCCATTTAGTTTAACCTAATGTACTAAAATTACCAAAAACACACAAAAATTACTAAAACTGTGTAACAATTTAGAAATGTAGAACATCTGTGTAACAATTTATTTTAAGGTGACATAGTTAAACATGTACTTACTGTAATAAAAAAAATTAATTATGCATAAATACAAGCAACCATCCCTAAACCAAACCTTAACTATAACCCTATAGTAAGTAGTACATGTAATAAATGAATATTATTCAATACTTATTTGTGTAATTACACTGTCAAAATAAAGTCTACCCTAAATTTGCATATGATAAATACTATCCACTGCAGGAATAGTATGGTTGTATGCTATTTTGAACATGATCAATCACTCATGCTCTGTTTTGTGTTGGTTCAGGTAATAAATTCTCCTCGTCCCACGCGCGTCTGCTGGTGGTTGGGGTGTGGTGTTATGCTGCAGTGTTTGCAGTAGGTCCACTCTCTGGCTGGGGTCAGTACGGATCAGAGCCTTACGGCACCGCCTGCTGCATCGACTGGCACGCGCCCAGCTACAACACACCTGCCATGATCTACATCATCTTCCTCTTCATCTTCTGTTACATCGTCCCCTGCACCATCATCATCCTCTCCTATACGCTCATCCTGGTGACAGTCCGGGGGGCCCAGCATGCAGTGCAGCAGCATGTCTCTCCTCAGAACAAAATCTCCAATGTGCAGACACTTATCGTCAAGGTAGGAGTTGAAGGAGAATAGATATGCCACAACTTGTTGGAGGTGGTGGAGGTGGTGGTAGTAATACTGATTGCTCACTGGCGTGATTGAATTAATTTATTGTATTTAACTGATTTTATAACTTTCTAAATAACTAAAATGTCAAGTGGTATAATTAATCAGGTAAACGTGATAACGGCAATACTTTATTTTGATAGTCCACTTTAGATCTATTACTAACTAAAAGCAATATCATTAACAAATGTCGTTCTGGTCATTGTATCGTTACATAGCATTAACATTAACAAAGATTAATAATAAATGCTGTAACAAATGTATTGCTCATGTAAGTTATTGCATTAGCTAACAATAACTAATGAGACCTTATTTGACAACATATTCTCATACTCTAACATATTCTCCTGAAACCATGAATACATATGAGTGTACAGATCATCATTTGTGTTGTTTTTAATCATATTCATGTTTATTAAAAAAAAAAAAAATTCCACTAAAATAATTAATTTTTTAATTATGAGTGATGACAGAGATGAAATAATGGAAAGTGTGTCAGAGTTAAACATGTGGACTGTTATGAGTGTTTTGTTCTGGTTTTCATTCTTTGGAACATTTGTAATGTCAATTAGTAGAGATTATCAAGGCAAGCAACACTTTCACACCAAGGATGATAACTATAACATTACCTATTAGGTTTTAATAATTGTTCTTCTCTAAGAACTGCACACCAAACCACAGCTATTACTTTAACAACAAAGATAAACAATGATGCAGGGGACTGAGTACAATTCTAGCAGTTCCAGTTGTTACCACTAGTGGGTGTATATGCTTATGCTGAGAGGCAATTTACCTGTTGCAGAAGAACATTCTGTCCTGTTGGATAGTCAGGTCATGCTTGCTCAATCCTGTAAGATAAGGGCGGTTATTAGTAAAAAATGACCGATTGCATTCCTCTCTCTTGTGTGGTTCTTTATGCCAAGTTACCACAGATATAACTGGAATCACTTTTAGAATTTTTTTTCCCCAGCTGATAAAAGATAAACATCTAATTAAAATTCACTTGACTTCAAATAGCTGGAGCATTTAAAGTGGTAGACAACAAAACTGTAGTAAAAAAAAAAAAAAAGATGTATTGTTTATTTGTGTGGATTAAAAAGAAGTTGTTCAAATGTGCAAATCATGATTTCCCCACACTAAAACATTTATTAATTTACATTGCATTTTAAAGTGTTCATGGTTCATTTGCATGCGTCATTTATGTCACATTGTTTAATGTGCATGAACTAGATACAACCATACACTTCTTTTATTTATTTAGCAGATGTTTTCCTTAATAGCAATTATCTAACAGAGGAATCAACAATATTAGCAGTGGTGCAGCAACCAGTTTCAATAGTAAAGCTGAAGCGACTAAAGCTTGAACAGAAGAGCAGAGCAGTAGAGATGGGCTGATGGGCTGTCTGGCAGGATGACAGTGAGTTCAGTCTTCACTGATCAAATGTGAGAGAGAGCAAGCGCAAATCCTGGCAGCGGCAGGTCGCAGCGCCACTTCCGGTGGCATCACCAGATGCCACGGCAGGTGCCAGAGTTCGTGGCAGATGCCACGGTCTTTCTCGCCGTTTTTGTTGTTTGCTCGCTAAAACTACACTGTTCTCAGTGGCGAGCGATGTTGTTTTAAAATAACAAGGCAAAGTTCCCACAGGTGTGTTTTTTGTTGGCTCGCTAAAACTACACTGTTCTCAGTGGCGAGCGATGTTGTTTTAAAATAACAAGGCAAAGTTCCCACAGGTGTGTTTTTTATTATTATTGTTATTATTATTATTATTATTATTATTATTATACATTTGTACGTATCAGCTGCCAGAGTTCGTGCCAGGAGTCACGACCGTTTGTCACCATTTCTGCTGTAAACTAGTTTTTTTAAATAAAACACACCCCAAAGGACAGCTCGCATTCTCATTGGCTCCACCCACAGTGAGGTGTCAGTCAGCCAACTTTCCAACGAGATCAACAGCGACTTCCTTTAGAGGATGAGAAACTGATTGTAGCAAAAACAAAAGATGTGGTACTGAAACCTTCTTTCTCTTCGCTACATTA